AGGTGATATACGTTGTACTTCCGGCTTTCTTTCCCTATAGCAGCAGCAGCAGCATCAGCTTCCGAGATTGATATATATTGTTAGGATTGATCATATATTATGAGCACTGAACAGTGACTGATTATTGTTTCCTGAGTGTGAATAGGAGCGATTTTATGATGTCTATCATTTTCTGGAATAAATCCGTGAAAATGTCTAGGACCCGAGCCATTTTTTCAGACATTTGCACCATCTAATAATACTGCAAAATCGAGTGTAATTCGTAAAAAAATTTCATTTTTAGCACACTAACGTGCTTAGCACGAACAAATAAATGTACAGCAGCAATCTCACCACAATTTCAAATGTAATTTCGTAATCCAGCTTAATCTTACACTTGCAGAACATCAGTTTCCACACTTTGCTATGTCAGTGGAAAGCGCTACGAAGAAATTTGTCATAGCGTCTTGCCTAGAGACATCAGCGCATTCACAATGAGCGAGACGTATGCTAATCAACACGGCTTTTTTGCTTTCTTTTACGATTAGTCGTCGTTGTCGTATTAATAAGGCCGTGTCTCTGTTGTTGTGCCTCTTCTTTTGTTTACTCGTTTAACAAATCGAGTTCATCGGTTCGTCATTGGCGTAGAATTCGTATGAGTCAGCACTTTGCTCATGCATATCGATGATAATGGGTTTTTTATTACGTTCAATCGAATGTAGTGCTTTATGTTGACGCATCGGAGCCTTCTTTGCCAATGGTTCTTTATGAAAAGTGTTGCGGTGATCGGTAAGAAGATAAGCCAAAAATTTTTCTTTTCGACTGCTCGATATACGTCTTCATCAGAAGCGTTTATGAATAATGACGGTCTTCGGGGTATGAGTAGCGAAGAGTTTACTTCAAATAAATGTGTAAAGATAACTGCGTTTTGTTGAAGATATGAAATCTAGGAGAAAATTATAATTACTATTATTGATGAAATATTTCCAGGTATGGGAGGATGTACTGATAATCCATGTGTACGTGGTTGTATATGTTTTTTCCGATGGGTACCCGTGGTTTTGATACTTGCCGTTATTGTATGGGCTTACTATGCTTATGTTGTTCAGTTATGTTTCTGTAAGTTTTTGTTTTCATTTTAAAGCATTTCAATCAATTCAAGATAAAATCATTTGAAAACATTTCTTCTTCGCATTACTTTAAATCCAGTTTGTTTCGAATTTCTGTGCTCAATTCGGCTGTTAAATTTCTCACTTGAACCTCATCGTTATTTCATTATACCAAACTGATCCTGCAGAAAACGTCATGCAAAATCAATTCATTATACTAATTATAAGCTGAATCGTCACTATCCGATTGTAATTTTTCAGATACTGTGCAATCTTCTCCAGAGCGTGTAATTTACTTGTTTATGTTTCATGTAATATTGATATTATTTTTATGGTCTTATTATCAGACGGTATTCTCAGAAATTGGTCAGCCACACAAAATGGTTCGTTTTTTCTTCTAACAATTATTTCTAACAATTCTAAAAAATTTTCTGACTCATTATCAAAGTTAAGTTATTGAGTGACGAATTGTTATGCTTTGAATTCTGAATTGGAGTCGATATTTTTGTGGTTGATGCAGGTCATTGTTTGTTTCAGTTCTATTTGACGTCGGAAATTCGTCGAGACATGGAGATGGCCGCAGACGATACGGAGTGTCGTCAAATATTAGAAAGATTCGTTCGTTTGAATCAAATACCAGTCACAAATTTATCTTTTGATGGAAGTAAGCTTTCTTTTCTTAGCCTTATTGAATTTTTAAAGAATTTATCATTTTCAAATAATTTCAATGTTCATTTCTCCAATACTGTCCTCCTATTATTCTCATTATGCTTACTGTTGTTATTATTAATATTTTTTGTTCACAAGAAAAAAGTTTCTGAACGATTGGCATTCGATAATTTACAGGCACTCGTTATTGTTATAAATGTATGTGTGTGAAACCAGATCGTAGCCATCATTGTTCAGTGTGTGGACAGTGTGTTTTGTGAGTTTTTATTCACTTATTTTTGCTCATTTCAAAACTTATTTTCTTTATTTCATAAGCAACTTTATTCAGTAGAAGTGTAGTGGTTCTGTTCACCAGAATTAATAATAGTTAGAATGGAAATTTAGTTTGATGCTTACAGTTACTTATGAAAAGTTATCATAGATGCAGTATCGGTGTGGTTACATTCACCGTAAGTTGTTAGTTTTGACTCATTTGCATTAGACAAATAGTGATATTTTGAATAATTGACATTCCGTTGAAGAAAATTCGATCATCACTGTCCTTGGGTGAACACGTGCGTGAATTATCGCAATTACAAATTCTTTGTTCTGTTTCTTGGCTACGGTTTAGCGTTGTGTCTGTTCGGATTCTTGACAGATTTGCAATATTTTATCGCTTTCTGGAAGGTATCCGTTTGTTCTTCATTCGTTCATTTTTATTCATTTGTTTTGTAGCAATACATTATTTGGACTGGTTATTGATTTGTTGATTTATTTGTGGTTGAGTTAAATTGAGTGATAACTGAGTGAAGTTGTGAGCGTGCTTTCTTGCTAAATTTTTTTGGTATAGATTGATGAAAATTGGATGGTTTCAGAATGAATTAAAAATGGGTGAAGGTTTCGGTCGAT